ATGAACTAAACAATCATCAAAATACAATTTCCGCATGTTTGCCAAATAATTTCTTGTCTTAACGGAATCTCTCGTAAGACATTCTTTCTCGATATGTACACCGTAACGTTTCTATTGATATGAAAACTAAAGTCCTGCAGACCTTACTGGACAAGATAGCGTTACGTCTTAAATAGAAGCACCGAAGAAGATTCTTGAAATAACCTTTTCTATTAAGTCTGAAGTAAATATGAAAACACAACTTGTCCTACAAACAAACCACCACTCGTGGCTATTCAAATTAAACAATAACAGAAAATTAAATTCAAACGCGAGTGACGAAGTCCAAGCCTAAGCATTCAATAAAATAAGGAATAAGCTGATGGGGGCAGTATTTTGCCCGCGAGTAATTCTAAGCAATCTGTTGGCGAGCATGAAGAAACGGAATATCACTTTGTAAGGAATGTTACTTCAGTTTTAAACTAGCCAATTTTGTTTAGTTGCTTTGGTTTCCTTTCTTCCCTCATTTTCATTTCCTGCCAGAAAGATATTGCAGTTTCGCGCCATATGCAAAGTAGGGTAGAAAGATACTGATTTAAGATTGTTACTTTACTGCCATGCGTATTAATTCTCGATTTGTGTAAGTCGGTGGTAGGACTAAGAGCCAACTCGCGTTAATTACCTCTGTACAGCTTTCGCTGATTATTTAATTTATTTTTAATTTTTATATTTCTGTTTTCATTTCCAGCCAAAAGCATTGGCTAAGTTTGTAAAACCAGAAGTGCTGTCTGTAAGTTCTTTCTTCAATTGAATAAAATAGTCTTATCAGCTTTACGGTCCAAGTGAAGATCTAGCCAGCAAAGTAACTTCCATTTAGCTAGAATCTTACAACTTTTAAATAGATCTGGCGAAAACCTGACCACAGACGCAAGTGCCGAAGGTTTCTCTCTGTCTAATATTTAAAACTTTCAGCTTAAATAATCTCAAAACTAATTTACATTCTGGTGAGAATTGCGGAAAGTAGACATTTTAGTAAAGATCAATATCATAATAATTGATTAATTAACATAAGCCTCTCAATGTAAATAGTAATTGCCCACAGTTCATTTAACTACAGTTCAAAATATTTCTACAATAATGATAGCACACTATGTTACAATTGCTCCGAATAATACAGCTTTTAACAAAGAAGCTGACTACTTTTAGATTCCCAAATTCGGTTCCGAATTTTTGATTTCGGTGGTATATTTTGAATAAATATTTATGTTACTGACTAGCAAATGGTAATTTGTTTTCTATTTAGCAATCCAGATGGCTTTGTCTGAAAGACAAAACAGAAAATGAAATTAACAAAATAACAAAAATATCAAACGAGGAGCAAAATTTCAGAGCAAATGGGAATTTTTCTATTTTGTTTGTCTGCAATTTTTATTCACGCATATTATTAAAGCATTGTTTCAGCTCGAAGAATATTTAATTAAATTTCCTTCTTTATTAGGACTTGTTCTCTTAATGTTTTTTGAGTAGTGATTGAAAGCATAGCATTTTTCTCCGAAGTTCATTGAGATTTGAATGTATATTCAGATTTGTTTTGTTGCACTTTAATTTAGAAATGCATTTATATTATTTTCTTTATTAACTAATAAATATGCATCACGTTTTCTGTTATACATATTGAAAACACTATTGAAAGTTTAAATAGATTTTATTAAAAATGGCTCTTTACGAACATCTCTTATGTAATTTTCGGAATTAAATGATGTCTAATTAAATTAATATTACTTTTATAAACGCAAGAGTTGAGCTGAAAACTGAGGCTGATGAAGATTTCTATAAAAATGTATGCTAGAATAATGAGATTCATTCTTCTTCTCAAAGTCCTATTTAAGAGCATACATTTCATTAAATGATACAAATTTTATTTTTAATGCAATTTAATGTTTTATTTGAATGCCCTAAGACTTTAACCAAACAGAAAACCAAAAACGACATTTGTTGCGCCTGCGCGCGCATTTCATTACTAGCGTCGGCGCATGCGTCTTGAGCTCTTGGAGTTTGTGACATGAGTTTGTGAGCTAAGAGCGTGTGAGAGAATTCGTGGCTTCGAGTGGCCATGAACTATGTAAATTAATGAGAATTAAAGCGAGATATAATACAGTCCATTGTTCCTGAGTTTATTGAATTATAGTGTAGTGCCTGTGCAAAACATCGTGGTCCGTCATGGGCCAGAGATCTATGGATTATGAGTTAGTTACAAGTAACAAGTAAGTCAGCAGTTTCGATTTAAGAATAAAGTGCCATTTTGTTATTTTGAGATACTGTGTAAGAGTTTTGAGAAAATTTATATACTGTGTTTACTGTGTTTAAGTAATTGAGAAGAATTACTTATTATCTTGTGTTATTTCATTAAGAGTACAATGTTTGATAAAAGGTGCACTTAAAGAGGATTTAAAGCTATTGGCTTTAGAACTGAATATAGAAGTTAAGTGAAAAGATAACTGTTACAGATTAAATTTAGCGATTAAAAGTAGTGAAGCTTTTAAATCCGATCCAAATTCGGTAATAGAGTTGGGTAATTTCCATAGTAGAGCATCGTAAATCTGAAGAAGCTAAAGTATTACAGTTAGAACAAATTAAATTAGAGAGATGTAAACAGAACTGGAAATTGCTCGATTGCGAGCTGAAACCAAAAGTGTTTAATAATGATCAAAACGAAACTAAAGGAGAAAGTTCCGATTCCTTAGATTCTCTTATTAAAAGTATAAGAACACTAACATTGAAGGTTCCGAGTAAACCTGAAAACTGGAGTTATTTTTTTCTCGTCTTTAGAAAGAGCTTTCGCGACAAAAAATGTGCCTGAGAAATCTAAAGCGGAAATATTGTTAAACTTGTTAGGGGAACGGGCTTCGAACATTATCGTGTATATTAGAGATGAGGAGCTAAGTGACTATGAAAAAGTAAAAGCTATTATTCTAAAAGAATTCGAACCTACACCACAAATTGTTTTAGAAAATTTTAAAAGGCTCAACGCCTAAATGAGTCCCATGTGCAGTTCGTGTCGCGATTAACCACAAATTTTCGAATATTACTTAAAATTGAGGAAAGGTGTCTGATTTTGAAACTCTGAAGCAGTTAATAATATCAGACAAATTGTTTGAAACATTAGATCGAGAAACGTCAGCCCATATTTCTATAAGGCAAGCTGAAAGTTGGTTTCCGCCTCAACAAATGGCAAAGGAAGCAGATTTATTTTTCACATCTCGCGGAAAGTCCCTTGCCGCAAGTGTGCATAGTTTTTCAAAAATTTCGCAAGCAATTACAAAACGTCGAAAAAATGTTTCAAAGGTATTCCTTGCCGATGTAAAAGGATTAAAGTGTGTTCTTTGTGAGGAAAATCATTTTTTGGCAAAATGCCCAAATTTCTTGAAACAACCGGTGAATGATCGGGTTGAAATCATTAAAAGTCATAAATTATGCTTTAATTGCCTAGCATTAAACCATTCCGTCAAAAACTGCAAATCAAAGTTTTCGTGTTCCGTTTGTGGGAAAAGACACCACATGACATTGCATTTTCCAGTAGAAAATAAATCATCGAAAGAGAAGGAAAAAAATAAAAACGAAACAGCGAGTAGTTCCAGTGTGCTTTCCCCCCTAGCGCCAAGACTTTCTGCCTAACAGCGGTAATACTCTACTTACAGCGACTAGTGTAAACAGATCCAAAAAAGTGTTCTTCTGAGCACGGCTATTTGCTTTATTAGTGATAGTATGGGTAAGCTACATCCAGTCAAAACATTACTTGATGGCGGCAGTACTTCATCGTTTATAAGCAGAGACTGTGCGAATAAATTCAACTTTGATTATGAGAAGGTAAACATTGCGATTTCCGGATTAAATGATTCCTTGTTTACAATTCGAAAAAGAGTTTCGGCATGCATTAGCAATAAAGATAAAAGTTACGTGAGACATTTAGACTTATTAGTAGTACCAGAAATCACGCAAGATTTGATTCCTTCAAGGAAAATTGATATTAAAATGCAAGGATTTTTGTAACATAAAATTAACTGATGAGAATTTTAATGTTCCAGAATGTATAGAGATGCTTTTAGGAGCTGAAGTTTTCTTTGAGATATTAAAATCTGAACAAATTCGATATGAAAACTCGAGTCTTATTTTACAAAACAGCGTGTTCGGGTTTATTAGTGTCGGGAAGCGTTACAATCAGAAGAACAGAGCCGCGTACATTGTGGGTTAATGAAAACATCTAATGACTTAGAACAAACAATGAGAAAATTTTGGGAAATAGAGAATGTTGAAATAGCCATTCCAAAAAATAAAGAAGCAGCAATATGTAAAGAACATTATGTGCAAACTCATAAGCGGAATGAAGAAGGGAGTTACATTGTAACAATGCCACTAAAGGAAGATGATATTTGCTTAGGAAATTGAAAAGATTTTGCCCTTGAGAGATTAAATTCCCTATGGAAAAGATTAGTTAAAGACCCTGAATATTTGAGTCTGTATCAGGATTTTTTAAAGGAGTATGAAGAGCTTGGACATATGACTGAGGTTAAAGAGAAAAATGAGCCTAGGGTAGTGTACTATATGCCACATCATGGGATATACCGACCTCAAAAAATAACAACTAAATTGAGAACAGTGTTTAATGCATCATGTTTAACATCAAATGGAATTTCGCTAAATTCTTTACAACGTAATGGAGGGGTTATTCAAGATGATCTCTTTTCAATTCATGCTTAGATTTAGAAAGTACCCATTCGCATTTACGGCAGATATTAGAAGAATGTATAGAATGATTAAAATTAACCCTGAACAGAGATGCTTGCAGCGAATCCTGTGGAAAAAAGGAAAGTGATGCACCTGTGAAAATCTACGAGCTTAATACTGTGACTTACGGTACAGTTAGTGCGCCATACTTAGCTATGAGAACTCTTAAACAATTGTCGATTGATGAAGGTCCAAAATTTCCATTAGCTGCGCCAGTCTTACTTAAAAATTTTTATATGGATGATGTGCTTAGTGGAGCGGAATCTTTGATTACAGCTAAGGAGCTTAAATCTCAGTTAATTGCAATATTGAAGAGTGCAGGAATGACACTGCACAAGTGGTGCAGTAATCATGCTGAACTTGCGGAAGAAGATCACTCCTATTCCTTTCCTAATGAAGCAGAATCTACAACACTTGGAGTGTCTTGGAGGTCTAGAAGAGACTGTTTCTGTTTTAGAGTGAAACTCGATAATGACATAGTTGTTACCAAACGACAGATATTGTCCACAATTGCAAGATTGTTTGACCCGATTGGTTTACTAGGGCCAATCATAAGTAAAGCGAAAATATTCCTGCAACGGTTGTGGTTGTTAAAGCTGAATTGGGATGAACCACTACCAAAAAAGGAAGCTGATGAGTGGAAGAAGTTCTCTACTGAACTGGAAGTTTTAAGTAAAATAGAAATTGAAAGGTTTATTCTTATTGCAGAAGTAGACTATGTGGAACTTCATGCATTTGCAGATGCCTCTGAGGTAGCATACGGAGCAACCATATATTGCAAGTGCCGTTCGAGAGATGGAGAAGTGAAGACAAGGCTAGTGACGAGTAAATCCAGAGTCTCGCCTATTAAACGAGTTACTATTCCGAGACTGGAGCTTTGTGCGGCAGTCCTACTTGCAAGGTTGATGGTTAGAGTAATATCTGCATTAGAGATTTCTGTGAACAACGTTTATCTGTGGAGTGACTCCATGATCGTGCTTTCATGGATACAAAAGGAGCCTTACCAGTTGAAGACATTTGTTGCAAATCGAGTGGCAACAATTCAAGAGTTGACTAATGGTCATCAATGGCGTCATGTGTCATCAAAGGAGAATCCGAGTGACCTTATATCCCGAGGCTTGGATCCCAGTAAACTTCTACAAAATTATATGTGGTGGAAAGGCCCTCTGTTCCTGAGATACGACCACTACCCAAATAGAGAGATTCCGGTGGAAGTCATTGTGAAGGACTTTCCAGACGAACTTAAAATCCTTAGTGACTCTAATATTTTTTTTTTCTTAATGTGAAAGCTAACCCTTTCATTGAGGATTTCTTAAATTTAAGTAACAATTACACTAAAATTATTCGTGTTTTAAGTTTTTATTTTTAGGTTTGTAAACAACTGCAAGGGGAAGGATAAGGTTTCAGGTCCTCTTCAGAGCTCAGAATTAAAATTAGCTGAACTTAAACTGATTAAGCTAATTCAAGATAGTGAATTTAAAAAAGAAATTTCAAGCCTTGAAAGGAGGGTAAGGTACCTCCAGATAGCAAGGTAAGAAGTGTTTTTCCATTTTTAGATCAATATGGAATTTTAAGAGTTGGAGGCAGATTAGCTAATTGTAAGTTGAATTTTGATAGAAAATTTCCTATAATCTTACCAAAGAATCATAAGTTGACTAATCTAATTATTGTGATGTTTCATAAGAAATACATGCATATTGGTCCACAAGGCTTACTGTCTATTGTTAGACAAGGGTTTTGGCCCTTAAACGGGCGCAACACTTGTAGAAAAATAGTACATGAGTGTGTCGTATGTTTCAAAGCAAAATCAGTGCCCTGTCAACAACTTATGGGTCAACTCCCTCAAGAAAGAATCAGCCCGAATTTTCATTCAATTGTGTTGGAGTTGATTTTTTTGGTCCTTATTTTATGAAATACCCACATCAGAGAAAAGGTCGCCTTAACAAGGTGTATGTGTGCATTTTCGTTTGTTTTGTTACCAAAGCTTGTCATCTTGAGTTGGTAACAGAGCTGTCTAGTCAAGCATTTATTGCAACCTTAAAGCGTTTTTTTAGCAGGAGAGGCAAGTGTGCACGCATATTTTCAGATAACGCAACCAATTTTGTTGGTAGCAACGCAGAATTAAAGAAATTGAATAGGCTAGTCAGCAAACCAGATGATGAATTAGGTAATTATTTATCGAGTGAGAGTATTGATTGGTCGTTCATTCCCCTTAGAGCTCCTAATCATGGAGGTCTTTTGGAGGCAGGTGTCAAATCTGTTAAGTTTCATTTGAAACGCGTAGTAGGCAATTTGAAACTAACCTATGAGGAGTTTCTTACAGTAATTGCTCAAATTGAAGGCATTTTGAATTCTAGACCCTTGTAACCTTTATCATCCGAACCAGAGGATTTTGATATCTTGACACCAGGCCACTTCCTGATAGGCAGACCTATCACGGCTATTGCAGAACCTAATATTTTAAACGTTAACGATAATAGATTAAAGAGCTGGCAAAAATTGACTAAAATAGTACAAACAATTTGAAAGTATTGGAGAAATAACTATTTGAGTGCAATGCAAGGAAGAACTAAATGGTTCTTTGAAAAAGACAATGTCAAGGTTGGAACTATGGTAATTTTAAAGACTGATAATGTTCCTGTATGTAACTGGCCTCTTGGCAGAATCGTAGAGATATTCTTAGGTAAAGACAATAAGGTTAGAGTAGTTTCAGTGAAAACGAAAGGAGGTATTTTTAAAATTTAAATAAAAAACGCTTTAAGGTTAATTAATAAAATTTGTCTTTTACCTATGCCAAGTTAAACAAAATGTATGTTTGTAATTAATTATTGTATTTTCTTATTATAGTAGTTTGATTTTGTTGATGTTATTATTTGATGTTTACAATTATTTACCTGTATTTCGTATTGTCACTCTGTGTAATTTTTTATTGTAAGATCTAATTTTGAATGATTACATCATGTCAAGGCGGGTGGTATGTTGCGCCTGCGCGCGCATTTCATTACTAGCGTCGGCGCATGCGTCTTGAGCTCTTGGAGTTTGTGACATGAGTTTGTGAGCTAACAGCATGTGAGAGAATTCGTGCTTCGAGTGGCCATGAACTATGTAAATTAATGAGAATTAAAGCGAGATATAATACAGTCCATTGTTCCTGAGTTTATTGAATTATAGTGTAGTGCCTGTGCAAAACAACATTTCTAAATGTCATTTGTCATGAAACACCAAACAATTCCATGCAATTACATTTACTAGGCACGCATTTTCATATAAAATATGATTACTGGAATGTAGAGCATTTAAGCTTTTCGAAAAAAAAATAAGATGCTATACAAACGTTGAAACACTTTACATGTTTTCATATGCGTATATGAAGGATTTAAAGCATCAATACAGTATCGGTTTAGAAGTAGGAAGTACTATTAAAATGACGCTTATGGTCAGCTATATTTCCTGTATTTAACAGTAATGTTATTCAATTAATAAACAAATTAGTTGAGTATTATTCCTTTGTCCAACAGCATCGTATTTCGCAAGGCTTCATGTATCATTATAACAGTTTTTATGCATAAGTAAACTGACGCAACATTTCTAAATTGATGCCCTCAAAAGAATTTGCTGTACATCTGAAATGAGTTATACAGTAAATATATTGCGAAATTAAAAGCTTTTACTCGATATATTAATTCCAACCTTGTGTAGCAAAATAGGCATTCTGCAAACATTTTCCATAACAGAAAAAGCCATAGCATGCATTTAATGCATCTAATAGACATGATAATTTGTACAGCGTGATATAGGTAGCATTTAAGCCATATAATTTATCAACAGCTAAATATGAATTTAAAATGATCGTATTGAAAGTATTATAGGAAATGATACATTAAAATTGTAATCTTGACAGAAACGTACACTGTGATAGAAATTTGGGAATCACAGGCACAGTAAGGAAAGCACTGGACCGTCATAATAAATCTCCAGGTGTTATTCCCGCTTCTTTAAGAGCTCTTTTGGGAGAGAGGATTGGCCGCATCGAAAGTTTTCCGATTTAAAAATGTGTTTTCTTTACGCGACAGACCCAGCTCGGCTATCTTCAGTAGCCCATCATGCGCTTCTCAGATTTTAATGGTTTGTACGACTGAATAAAATAAGTATATTATAATAGAATAATAATAGTATCAGATTATATATCTAATAAGATTATAACAGTAACAGATTACATATTTAATAGAATTATAATAGTAACAGATTATATATCTGATAGGATTATAATAGGATATAATAGAATATATGTTAAGAGGATTATAATTGTAACATAATATAAGATATAATGAAATATGTATAATGGAATTGTAATAGTAATAAATTGAACTAACTGGGTTTCTCCAGGCCTGTTAGACTTTTTATTAGTTGCCAGTCTCCATTAACCATTGTTATTTACATATAGACAGTATAATAAAATATGCATATATATTGTACAGAGAGTATTAATTCTTCTAATACATATTATTCAAAGAAGATAAAATTTCCTATCTTATCATAAATTTATAGCTAAAGCCAGAATCACATCATAAACATCATCACATCATAAATTTTATAGCTAAAGCCAGAAAAACGGTGACCGTATCTTCGAGCTAAGGAGAATTTGTAAAAGTTACATATTAAATATTATAAAGAATTTTTTTTAATAAACAAACTTATTTGGATTTTGTTAATTATAATTCTCCTTAATTAATATTGTCAGGACTGCTGTTCCTTCTAATTGCCATCTAATCCTGAATGGGTGCAGAGAGCTTACTCAACTATGCTCATGTATGTGTAGGACAAACAACACCACAAAGAAGGGTTAATTTTACCCTTTATTTTTCACAGCGTACAGCCGATCCCGCACTTCGGAATTTTTGAGACCAGCACTTATGGTCTAAAACGTATAAAATGAGATATAAACTAAACTAAATAAGAACTAAACTTAGATGCTTTACAGACACTAGTAACGCGAAAATTGGCCTTTTGGCACTACGTATGTAGTGAGCGAAATGCAAAAAACTACAATACGTCTTCAAATATCAGTAAGAACTAAGTTCTGGTATTAAAGGCAGACATGAACTGATTGAAAAGTACGTGCGTGGTAAGGCAGTTAGAAGACTCTTTCCTCTTGGCTAAAAGCCACATCTTAAATACCTATACAGTTTGCAACCTTATTAGCATAAGCAATTCTACTCGTGCTTATTCTGGCCAGAAATGGAAAATAAGAGAGGAGAGCAAAGTTTTAAAGTAAAATAAATGTTAGTAAAACTTAAAATCTTTACAATACTAATATTAGTATTACTGATTAATGTAAAAATGTCTAAGATTAATAGATTAACGTGTTTTTGCCTCCAAAGTATAAGAAAAACAAATACCTCATTAAAATCTGCTTACCGCGCAATTTTTCAGGCGCTGACTGAGAGGTTCCAGACTCAAATTCGCTTAAAGATGCTATTTCAAGTTTCGTAATTTTTTTAATTTTGGGGGAGTTTGGGATTACCCTATAACAATCCCGAGAGAAGTGTACTAATAATTTTAGAATAATGTTTCTAGCTGCATTTAAGTTCGAGTACTGGAAAAATATAAATCTTAAGTTACATTAGCAATAGAAATTACGACAAAATATCATCAATAAAACTTTAATTTTAAATGTTTCACGGTCATTATTGAAATATAGTCACTGAAAAGGCTTTAAACTAAACGTTATTTTTCTTTTAAACAAGTACTTGAAAGCTACAGTTCAAAGGGGAAAATGTTCTGTTTTTCCAGAAATTATTTTTATTATGTCTTTGAGGTCATAAAAACAATAATAAAATACAAACCTGGAAATTTAATACGCAAATGTTCAACCGAACTAAAACATGCATCGCAACTTTGGTTCCAAAGAAATACTTTGCTAACTTAATTCTGTTTTCTAACATACTAATCGAATTCCGTGAATCTACATTAAGGCAAGGAATTCTAATTATAAACTGCCTTAGACTAAACGCAAAAAAAGAAAGTAAACTTTATAAGCTGCTTGAAAAACATTCTGTTTGTATTTCGAGAAGAAATAATTTTTGCAACCATTTTATTTAATTTAGAAACGCCCTTGTAGCAAGAAATACTTATGTATATAAACCTTTATTAGAAGCACACAAAAAAATTAGTAAAATATGTTTAAAAGAGTTAAGAAAGTGTTATTGAATTAATTTTTATGAACTTCTATGAAGAGGAAAAGCATATATGTCGTTTGTATAGTGGTAATAATGCTAGTGGGAATATGACAGTTCCAGCACAGGGGGTGCTATAAAACTGATTTTTGCATAGCATCCTCCTAAAAACCGGATTTTTTTTTCTACACTGTAAGCTGTAGCAACGGCAGAAAAAAGTGTTTTTTTTTTTTTTTTCTTTTTTTACAAACTGAAAATGTAACGATAAAGCGCGCTACTTCATGTTTAGCGGTTGAATATCTTATATACTGCATTTCAGGTCATTAATGATCGATTTTTACATTACCCAGATAGAATAGTTTTTCATTTTGTTTATCCTTATTTGTCTTTTATTTTTTTATGTTATATTTAAATATTTAGGCGTGCAGCATTTCTAATTCGTTCAGACTAATATTCAAATTCGTTTTTATTTGCTTTTTTCCCCCTTTAAATTTTAAAATTTCATTTGAGTTACTTACTACTCTTATGTTTGATATAAATGGATTGGATAAATTAAAATTAGCAAGGTAGTTAACCAATGTTCCCACACCTTGTTACCGAAGTGCACGTGGTAGAGCCTATATCATCTCAGGGAAAATACAATGACAGTATAGGATACCGGACATCCCTTGCAGTTGCACTTCATCCCTCCTTCCACCCAACATATTTAATGCTGTTTTTGTTATTTACTTCACTAATTATTCATTTTGTTTGATTTTGAAATCACCGTGAGCTAAAGTATTGAAAACATTTGAAAGTATATATCTTTTGTCATCAAATACACTTAAACCGACTTTTCTCATTTCCACAATGCTAATTTTATGATGTTTTGAAGCAATTTTCTTCATTGTCACTTTTGACTGCTGATTACTAAACAAACAATGTTTTAATCATCATGTGAGAGTACATTTTTTACAATGCATCTAGATATACCTTTGGCAGTTTTTTTCCACTTCTTTAGCAGATATGAGACTATGCATCTTTGCTCTTAATCCTATAAATTCAATGACAGGAACACAGAATTCGTCTTTCATCTTTCCTAATACTTTATTATTCTTAGAGGAATATGCGAAGTGCGTCTTAGGAAAATTAGATAAATCAAAATGATTTGAAATTAAATTATTTTGATCTTCATTTTGAATCTTATTTGAATCTTCATTTTTCAGCATGTCTTCATACATATCATCTGTTTTAATTTCATAGCATAAAGAATCTGTGTCAGTATAAAGTAATTTAGCATTTTACCATACTTATTTCGTATGAAATCATAATGAAAACTGTACATAACGGTTTTACTAACATCCAACGTATATGGGTCGATTTAATTTAAGAGATGTTTTCTTCATATTTACTGCTGCAAAATCGTCATTAAAAATCGTAAAACTTTTAAACGCGGAAGATGCTGCAAGTTTTTCCAAGCATTTTTCATTATTTAACAATCTCATATCTGCAAGATTTCTCAGATTTTCTATTGCCTTTCCAAACATAGAATTGTTCATTAATTTGAAAACGTCTTTCTCAAAATCATTTTAGCCAGTTTCCGCTGTTCTTTATTAAATTCTACGTACGCTTTCATTCATGTGTCTTGCTTGAATTCAATAACTCGATGAATTCTTTTCAAATCCATTTCCAACTTAACATATTGTTTTACATTTTTAGAATGTAGTACATCCTTTTTTTATCATATAAGTTAGGAACAAGTTTCATAACATTTCCAAGTAATAACCCATTTCGACATTCAAGCATCTTTTTGCAATAAGATGAAAGTATATCAGAATTGATTTGTGATTTTTCAGGAGCTAGGGGATAATCACTATGTAGTTCATGAAGTTGCTTTAGGTATCCCAAATCTACTTCTAATAAATAACCATATTTTACATTATCATCAATATCATTCATTCTAAATAATTTTATTTTTTCTTCAGATAACCATCTAAATTCACAAGTTGGAAGTGGTTGAACCATGGCCCAGCCGTATAAATTATTAGCGTGTAGGTATATTATATATTTAGTGTCAACCTCTAGAATAGAATTGTTCACATATTTATTGTTGGCATTACTGAAGCGATTAACAATAACACTTACGTCAGCGCGCAAGGATTTTTCAAAAATATAATTGCAAATCTGAATCAGTTAAATGTTCTAATTTAACTCCAGTCATCTTTAAACAAGCTTGTCAAGCTAATCCAGGCGCTGTATAGACATGACAAGGGTCGATCTCATAATAGTTCAAGCAAAGATTCCTAAAGTTTTCGAAAATACAAGCAAGTAACAGTGCATCGGTTTTCATATATAGATTATGATATTCTCCTAAATTTTTAAGATGAAACGTTTTCCACACATTTTGAGCATGATCATAATCAGTTTCTGAAAGTATTTCGTTTGTTACATCGTTGAGAAATGCATCACGGTGAGGTAGCTTTTCTTCCTCAAATTTTTCATTACGATCTACGTAACTATATGGATAAACACCTTTTCGCAACAAAAGACTTATTTTCTCACTGCCTTTAACGTGATCTTTCAGAATATAAAATTATTCATTTTCAAGGTTTCCAGCTAGTTTTTCCAGCGATGCGGGCATAAACTGGAAAGAATCCAGAAACTGTAGTTTCCCATAGAAAATGTAGCATATTGCTCCATACTTTGTACAATACAATTGATTTTTTATGCTTCATTTTATTAAGTCCTTGCATGATTAGATAATCATCGTAGTTCTTTATAACCCACGAAAAATAAATGGAATTTTTTAGAGAGTTTAAAATTCAGATTACATCTTCTGTACGCTGCTCCGCGATACTTGCCTGTAATGTGATCATGATTTCAAACACGTTCTTTTCCTAAAGTATTTCGACATATGTGACAAACTTTAGCTTGCTGAAAAAGAACTTCCTCTTCGAAAGATACTTTCATTGGTCTTTTATTATTTAAAATATAATTTATTAATTGCTCTTCTTTAAGCATGTCTTAAAGGAAGTGATCCACAACATCATCTCATCTGTAAACTACAGGCTCTTTGAACGTTCTTCCGTCAGGTACTATAACAAGATAGCAGAACCCACATGGAATGTGGTAAGATATAATTACTGAATGAGAAGTGTTCGGATCATTTATGCATGTATTGACTTTAGCGATGAATGATTCAAAATCCGCATATATAAGAAAAGTTATTTTCAATTGAAATTCATACTTTTCAAACCGCAACCAATTGTCTTCTTCTGAAGGCATTACGATTTTCTGAAGGCCATGAGTTTGTCAATTTAGTATATGAGATGTGATAATATTTTGCTTCGAAAACCGATACAAACAGTAGAGACAATAAAAAATAACTCCATCACGCTTTGTTAGGGAACTTAAAAGCCTACTAATATTTTTTATGTAGCAATAATGCTTTTTTCATCCTCACTCAAAAGCAGAAGTTTCACGTGTATGCTGTTCACTTTCTTTGTAATATGCAATGATAAAACTTCTTTTTCAAATCCAAACACACTGCAGATATACCATTCATTCTTTCAAAGTTTTCAATTTGATGTAGCGGCAACAGAAAATCAAGCCCATCGAACTTCAGCTCTTCCATATACTGTTCATAACTGCTGAAAACGTTGAACATTTGAAGGTAAAGGATGAATTGCTGCTGAAATGGATCATAAAAAGCAATTTTGGTCATTATTTTTAAAATTAATAACAGCTCCCTTAATTAAAATTTCTCGAGGTGTGGGTATATAACTTGATGCAGAAAATGTATGAAATTTAGCGACATTAACATATAAACAGATTCTGGAATTCAGTATCCATCCACTTCCTTTTCTTTCAAAGCTTGACAAAATCTTTTCCTAACCTTCACCAAGATTACTTCTGAATTCAGATTCTGGTAGACTAACAAAACAATCACTTATAAAAAATGAAATGCAGTATTCAAATTCGTTGATGGAGCTACGTCTTTAAAAATGTGCTTCCAGTGTCGCATATCACTTAATGCTTCCTTTTTCCTCTCTTTCAGAAAGTAAAATATGCTCTACTTTATCAATTGAATTCTGCAGAAAAATATTCACATATCTGTTATCATTATCCTTCGGATTTATCCGATGAACAACTAAAGTATTATTCAAAACTTTAGTGAAACTGCTTGGATTTTAAAAATGTATTCCACTGTCTGACTTGAGCCTTTTCCGCTTCAACGAATCTCCGCCACCAGCCTTCCGTTGCTTACGAGGAACGCAGGATTTCTGATGCTGTTTACAATTTTCCTTTCTAGAAAATAACTTTCCACATTTATTAAAGGAAAATAGTTTACTATCACCATGTACAGTCGCCATATGACGCACGTGATGACTATTCCTGTGAAACAAGGCATCACATTCTGTAAAAGGAATAGATTTTATGTTATGTGTTTTCTTGCAAATATATGTTGCAAGCCTAAAGATAAAGTTAAGGCTCCTAAATTATTTCAAATGTTTACGTAATACACTACAAATAATGCCGTAAATAGAGGAGAAAACTAGTGTTTTGCATCATATTTCATAACACCTTTACGAAATCATTATTCAAATACCGTCACATATTTTAAACAAAATATTTTATACTTTAATTACTAATTATTCAGTGTCAATTAACATTTTGCTATTTAACAATTTTCATCACCTGTATTAATATTATTTTTGTATTATAAGGAGGTAATTTCAAACATTTTTGTTCTTAAATTCCACTTTTAAAATCTAACAAGTATTCAAAGTTCTCACAAGAAAAAAAAATGTTCTTCTTACCTTCATATGCTAAAGGGAACAATCCTAATGAACTAGTCTTTACTTCGAAAATGAAAAATTGTAAGTTCCAAATTCTTAAAAAAAATATATGTGAGCTATTAATCCTTGGATAAAATGAAACAGTTAAAATATAAAATAAATTCCCTGAATATCAATACAACAGTTTCTCTGCATGAACAAACTTTGGCACGCACCATTAAATTTATCACTTTCACAATTATTTCAATGACTAAACTATGAAACTGTATTACGGAACGAAGAAAGCATTAAACATTACGCACGTATAAGCTCTTTAATAGAAACAAACTGATTTAGAATAAAATATAGGTAAATATAAACTA